CCAAAGGACATGCTCCACTCCTGGCTCTTCTTTCTTGATAGTGAGATTTCCTTTTCTGCCTCTGGAATGACTCATTTTAAACATAGCAGTATGACAAAATTGGAGTTCTAGTGTGGTATTATCAGAGAAGCATGGGACTGCTAACCCCAAGGTCAACAATTCAAACCTACCCATCACTCCATGGAAACCCTATACTTGGTCCCTATGAGTTAGAATGAACTCAATGGCACTTAACAAGAAAGAACATGACCGATTCCCTCATTAAGGTTCCGTACATCTTATCTGCATGGTCCCACCCCACAAAAGCATCATGTCCCTTCTTTACTTTATTAGTAAGCTTATCCAGTCCCCTGGGTGGGGCTCAAGCACTTCACTGTGCATAGACCTCAGTCATTTGGTGGGAGTTAAGAAGACTATGATTGAAAGGGCCATATCACGTAATTCACTGGCTCCCAGATGGAGAAAGAGAGAAGGGACATTCCAGGTCAAAAGGAACATTGTGAGGAGAGAACAAGGCACATTTGAGGAGCTACACTTCCATCAGATAGGAAAGAGAAGAGTGTTGAAACAGGCATTGAAACCTTAATCCTTGATTTTATCATGAGTGTAAACAGTTTAGATTTGCATTTAAAAAAGATTTTTGCTTCAAGGTAAAGAATGGCTTAGAAGCCATTAAAATTGAAAGGATTAATCTGAGATACATGATTAAATTCAGGAATCTGCCCTGGGCTAGGAATACTATACATCTTTATACTTACTAACTTTTAGTTAACTTAGCATTTCTTCTGATTATCAATGTAGGTAACCAGCCCAATAGAAATCATAGACATTTTCTTTTTACGTTACAATCGTTGTTGTTGTTAAATGTTGTCAAGTCCATTCTGACTCATAGCAACCCAATATAGGGTTTCTGAGGAGTGACTGGTGAGTTTGAACCACCAACCTTGCAGTCCTGCACTTATCCTATAGCACCACACCAGAAGTCCAGCAAATCAAGTAGAGAAATGCCACAGAATTCTAAGTGGAGTTCAACATTAACACATGCTTTGGAGAAGGCAAGCAGGGTAAGAGAAGAAAAGTTTGACTTTGGCAATTAGGAAGTCACTGGAAAACTTGCCAAAAAGTTTATTGGAGTGTGGAGCAGAAGCAAATTGCAGTTTGCTAAGAAAATGAAGTCACTGGAAATCATCAGACAATATCATTAATATCACATGCAAGTAAAATTTTGCTAATGATAAAAAGGCTTAAACAGTACATTGACAGGGAACTCCTAGAGGGTCAAGATGGATTCATACGAAGACATGGAGTAAGGAATATAATTGCTGATGTCCGATGAATCTTGGCTGAAAGCAGAGAATACCGGAAAGATGTTTACCTGTGCTTTATGACTTTGTAAAGGCTTTCAACTGTGTGGATCATTACAAGCTATGGACAACATTGTGGAGAATGAGTATTCTGAACCTGTGCTGGACCAAGAGATAGTCATTTGAACAGAACAAGGAAACACTGAATGGCTTAAAATCAGGAAAGGTGTGTGCCAGGGATCTATTCTTTCACTATACTTATTCAATCTGTATGCTAAGCAAATAATTTGAGAAGCTGGATTAATGAAGAAGAGCGTGGCATCAGGATTGAATTCATAACCTGCAATGCAGATGATACAACTTTTGCAAGCTGAAAGCAAAGAGTACTTAGACTACTTATATTGAAGATCAAAGCCTTTGGTATGCGTTGCATCTCAGTGTAAAGAAAACAAAAATCTTCACCACTGGACCAGTGAACAGCATCATGATAAATGGAAAAAAGATTGAAGCTGTCAAAGCCTTCATTTTGCTTGGATCCACTATCAACATTCATGGAAGCAGCAGTCAAGAAGTCAAATAATGTATTGCATTAGGCAAATCTGCTGCTCATGTCCTCTTTAAAATGTTCAAGAGGAGAGAGGTCAGTGTGAGGACTTAAGGTGTACTTGACCCAAGCCATGTTATTTTCTGTAGCCTCGTAGGCATGTGAAAGTTGGACAGTGAATGAGGAAAACCTTAAAAGAATTGATAAATTTGAGTTATGTTGTTGGAGAACATTAAAAGTACCATGGACTGCCAGAAGAGCAAGCAAATCTGTGTTGGAAGAAGTACAGCCAGAATGCTCCTTCCAAGCCAGGATGACAAGACTTCATCTCTCATACTTTGGATGTATCATCAGTCCCTGGAGAAGAACATCATGCTTCGTAAAGTGGAGGGTCAACAGAAAAAGAGGAAGACCTCCAATGAGATGGATTGGCACAATGGCAGCAGCAGTGGGCTCAAGCATAACAGTGATTTTGAGGACTGGGTAGTGTTTCATTCTATTGTGCAGAGTTGCTATATATAAGTCAGAATCAACTTAATGGTACCTAACAACAACAACAACAAGAAAATGAAAGATATTTTATCATTTAGGGAAAAGAAGAGGGACAAAACTAAACAAAAAGGATTTTTTCTGCCTTCTGAAAATTTTCCCTGTCGGCTTTTAGGATTTTCTCTTTGGTTTTCAGCACTTGGAGTATAATATGTCCATATATGTTTTTGTTTGTTTGTTTACTTTTGTTATTTAACCAGCTGTGTTTTCCCTGAACTCATTGGAACTTTGGTTTCATTTGTTGTTGTTAAATGCCATCTAGTCGGTTCCGACCCATAGTGACCCTCTAGAGGGTTTCCAAGGAGCAACTGGTGAGCTTGAACCACCAACCTTGCAGTTCAAACTGACTTTGCAGTCTAGCGCATTAATCCACAGCACCACAGGTTTCATATATGTCATTAATTTGGAAAAATTCATAGCCGTTATTACTGTTAATATTTTTTTTTCTGTTCAATTCTTTCTGTCTGCTCCTAAGATTACAATTGCATATAGCTCAGTCCACTTATTAAAGTCTCACAGATATTGGATGCTGCTTTTTGTTTTTTATTTGCTTGGTTGATTTTGGTTTTGTTTTGTAGTTGTTGTTAGTTTGCTCTTTTGTTTCAATTTGGGTAATTCCTGTTGACCTAATCCGACTGCACTTTTTCCCTCATCTGTACTGGGCCTGCTGAAGGCATTCTTCATTCCCCCCCCCCCCCCCCCTTTTTTTTTTTTTTTTTAGCATTTCCGTTTAGATCTTCTTTGTATATCCTATTAGTGTCTATTTCTATTGATTGCTTTGTCTGTTGACAATGAACTAATTTAGAGTTTTATTTTCCCCACTTGCTTCTTTGTAGGTCTTGTAATTTTTTTTGTTTAAAATCCATGTCTGCTCTGCCCTTGACTTTGGGGCTACTATTTGCACTTATGCTTCAAAGAGGGTGTCACTTCACACCCTTGCTCCTCTTCCAGCAGTAGACTACCATTCCTTGTTATTTGTTAGCATTGACACTTGGGAGTACCGGGGAGACATTCATTGCTGTCCTAGATCAGCCTCAGTCTTAGGCAGGGCTGTATCCCTGAGTTACAGGACTGAGGATTTCTAAATGATTCTTCCTTCCCACCCAACTGTAGGATGCCTCTAATGGGTTGGGCCTATTTTGTATTACTGCCCATCCTTTAAAGTTAGATGATATTTTTTTTCTTCCCTTTTCCAAACTGTAGTAAGGATTCACCGGTGCCCTAGAGCCACAGAGTTTACTGCCCTTTCCCCTTGACTTAAGACTTTAGTTCCTGGGAAGAGCATGGTAGAAGCATCTCAGTAAAGACCGAAGCCTTTTCTACAGGTTAACCTCCTCCAGGTATGCACCAAGGTGTGACTTTCTCAGGACTCCCCACGCCTCCTATTTTTCTTGTGAGCACCTGGTAAGGTCCCTGGAGAAGAGGAGTTTATTAGTTGGTGAAATTTCCCTTGTGTATTTTGTGTGCAGTTCCCAGGGGTTCTATATTCTCACCTAACCCAGACACAGCTTCAGCAATTCATTAAAAATTTTAGCTGAATTCTTTCTATCTTGTGTGGTATCCAGCAGTGTTTGCTATAAGTCAGCAAGTGCTTGCACCCTGTCTGCATGAAGACTGTTATATCCTTAGAGACTGGGTTACTTGCCCTGTGACTGCAGCTCTTAGATATATTCAAGAAAAGCTAAGAATTTATAGATGATTACATTGTGTGTTGTTGTGATTAGTATGAGAATGATGCTCTTTTGAGGTTTCAATATCCTAAGCTAGAAACCACAAGCTGTTTTTAAAATAATCTCAGCAGGTGACTGATTAAACTCAGTTACAGAAAAATTAAAGGAATTGTATTATTTTGTTCTTCTCAGTATAATAGTTGCTGATATTTCTCAAGTTTCAGAGCTGTTTTCATACTAGGTATTCTGTGAAGAACTTTGAATAATTATCACCGTTAACGTTCACAACAATTCTAATTGCCAAAGATCACAGAGCCAAGATTTGAACTCAGGATATTTGCCTCAGAGTCCATTCTCTTAGCCACTCTCTCTATGCAGTCCAATATTGTGGGTTTTTAATGTACCATGTGACTATACCAGTCACATCACAGACTATACCTGGTGTGGCATTGTGGGTTAATGCTCCAGACTGCAAAGTCTTTTGAACTACAAGGTCGGCAGTTCAAGCTCACTAGCTGCTTCTTGGAAACCCTATACAGGGTTGCTATGGGTCAGAACTGACTCGACGGCACTTCACAACAACAAAAAGGTTTCATCACTAAGTGCTAAGGATGCAAGAATAGACATGGTACATGCTTTCCTATAGGTATACAGAAGTGCAAGCAAGAGATGGAAGTGACTTAGAATAGGAAAGCTTAGGTCATGGGAAGTATAGCAACACTTTGTGGACTAAACTGTTTATCTTTCTGTGTGACTATCTGCGTCAACTGTTCTTAATTAGGATTTTACAGCAACAAAAAAATTTTTTTATGGGATTAGTTAAATCTTGGTTCAAACACATTTCAAGGAATAATATGTAAAACGGGCTAAGATTTTCTTCATGTATTAATGCAAGAGATGCCAGGGGTGAGCTAAGTCTTTTCTCCTTGACAGATGGAAGAGAAGACTGAGAAGAAGACTGAGGAGCCAGCTCCTCCCACGGACAGTAAAGGGGCATTTCGGAAGGAGAGAGAGGCGCACAAGAAGCTCCTTGCTGACAGTCATGGCCTAGTCATGGACCTGCGCTGGCAGATCCATCACAGTGAGAAGAACTGGAGCCGGGAGAAGGTGGAGCTTCTCGACCGCCTGGACAGAGATCGGCAGGAATGGGAACGACAGAAAAAGGAACTTCTGTGGAGAATAGAACAGGTATGGAAGCACCGTAGACACCAGAAAGCAGGGAAGATAGTGTAGGTAACTAAATGGACCTGGAAACAAAGCACTTGTGAAAGAAACCATCAAAAGCCAGGCTATGTGAGGTCCTTGCTGCATTGGTGTGTCTGGGCTTCCACAAGACGAGGAGGAAACCCTCGACTAGCTAGTGCTGGAAACCTAAGATCATGTCCTTCCATTGCCACATCTGTAGGCAGCTGTCTTGTGGGGGCAGGAGTACAGAGTGGTAGAAGAAGTAACTTTTTCAAGGAATTGAAAACTGAGGTTATTTCAGGTCTTATACAGTGATAAAACTAACTTTTCAGTTTGCTGCAGAAGATGTGCTCACAGTAGCTGCTCCAGCTTGAATAGGATTATTATCCATTAGTAAAGAAATGGTTGAATTCAGTTGGAAGTCAGGCTGTTTACTGCTTATTATACTTGCTGTGAATATTGCTGAGCTGTGATTAGGTAGGGCTTTCATCAAGGGAGGTAGCTCATCCTCTTCATCAAAACTAAGGATTCAGAAATCAAATGAATTGGGGCTGGGAAAGATGAATTGCCCCGAGAATCATTCTTTGAGTTGCATCAGACTTAGGACAGTTGGCTAAGTTTTGCAGTATTTCCTGGTGATGCACACATAGCATTTTCACATTAAACTGAGAACGGCTTAGAATTTTTCTCCCTGGCCAGATCCTTATATAACATACATTTTATTTACTTCGACCTATTACATTTATTCATGAAACCGCAAAGAAATTCATTAATTTATGAGAAATTGAATTCAAGAAAAATAACCTCATTACTCTATTATAAATATCCAAATTGCCTGCATTTGTATGGGAGGCTTTTGGAAATGTGCTTTATTCTCCATAGACATTGTACATACATGCAGATACAATGATTGACTGATTGTGTGCCGTGGAGTCAGTTCCAACTCATAGCAACCCTGTACAGGGTTTCCGAGGCTGTAAATCTTTATGGGAGCAGAAAGCCTCATCTTTCTCTCATGGAACAGCTGGTAGTTTCAAACTGCTGACCTTAAAGTTCGCAGCCCGATTCATAACCACTATGCTAAAGTTTAATTTAAGCATACTGTTTGAGAGTGAGGGAAGGATAATTAAGTGGTTTAAGAAAAAAAAATAAATAAATAAGGTGCCTTTGGTTTCAAAACTATTAAGAAGAAAATACAGAGAAGAGCTGACCTGCTTCTGTTCTTGTGTGGTTCAATTACTCATAATTGAATTATCTTACTGATTTTGGCATGGCTCCATTTCAAAATTCTTTAAATTATATCAAGAGGAATTTTGGCCACTTCCTGTTTGTCTTAGAGATGGAGCACTTGGGAAGCGTCTTCTGTAGACTCCTTCCTGTGTGTGCTCCATTGAATGGTTATGTTGCTAGTTATGTGGAAGTTGTTGGGGTAAAAGTAGCATGAACATGACCACAAATTTATCACGAACCGAACTCTAGTTAACTAGCATCACAAGTAACTTCAGGAAACTTGCCTTCCCTCTAGTATCCCTCATTTTGTTTTTCCCTCCTGTACCCCAATGGGCCCACGTGGCCCCTGTCATGACCTTTTGCGACCTCCTTTACTGATTGGCCGTAGCAACTTGTTGGTCTTGGCACAGGCCTCATTTTGAAAGCCACACTGGGATTTAAGTTAAAGCAAGTCCTTAAGTTTTTTATTTCACTCTTGGGAATGAGGCGTTCCAACCAAGGAAAGCTGGGTAAGACATATCCAATGATCTTCAACTTTTAAGCAACCCATGCCCTAAGGATGAACAAATAGTTGCCTCATTTTAAAACCATATTTTGGAAAGATAAGAGTGGTCAGAAGCTGAACCTTTTTTCCAAATTATCACAATTACAACATTTCTACCCAACTGACAACCTCAGGACTTCAGTCCTCTTGATGGCTCTGAGCATAATGTATTTACGACACATGAGTTTCCAGCATGCATCTGTTGTGGCGGATCTCCCAATCTTTCTGCAATGATTTCACTGCTGTTTTTAGAAGAGAATTTGTTACCAATTAACTGCTGCCTCAGACATGCAATGCTGTCTTTCAAAAAGAAATGTAGCCTTTCACCTGACGTAACCAACATTTTTAAAGAATATTTTACAAACCTTAGTACCAAATCTTGAAAATTGTTAAAGCTGGTAGAGGCATTTTCTGTAAGATAGGAAATTGATTGAAGTGTGTATAGATTGTCTTTCTTTTTTTTTTTTTTCTCCCAATGGTTACTGCATTGCTCATGTACTCAACTTTTAGCTATACATTTCATGAATAAATATATATATATATATATATATATATATATATATATAATATAAAAGAAATGTAACTGAACATCTTCATAAACTATTTAACAATACATGCTTTCAAAATCTGACTACTTGGTAAGCCATAGAACTTTGACAGCCTAATGCAGATGGTGAAAGAAGTGACACTAAATCCATTTTCCACTTTCAGAGCACATGCTTCATGCTTGTTTGGTGTCATTAAATCCCAACATAATGTCTGTGCCACAGAAGGCATCTTCTATGAGGCCTGATTGTGGGAACTTGGCGACGAAAATATAGTGCGTGCCATCTATCTTGTCAGCATCTTTTTGTCTCAATCCAAATTTGATTGGGTAGTGGTTAATGTTTATGGGCTCACACTACATTTCCCCTCAGAACTGCTACATTCACAGTTGACATGCAAATAAGGCAGGATTGAGCTGTGCTTGCTGGACTTCGAGCACTAAAGGAAAGCGCACAGTATGTCAACCTGGAATCCTTCCAGTGACTTTCTTAAAGCAGTTGCCTTTGCAGTCTGAAAGGCCCTTCTTTCACAACTTGCTTACAGAGTAACCTCTTCTCTGTGGGTCATTACAGGTAAGATGACACTCTTGAGGGTTTATTCTTTGCTATATGATTTGAAATGCAAATCTCTTCAATTTTCTATTTGCCTTAAAAGTTATTCTACTGTACAGTTCTAAGTGCAGCAGGTGCTGAGCCCTGATTTGAGATGATTCCCCTAGGAAACCCTATCCTTTAAGGACACATTCTTCTCCCACAGCACCCCAGAGGCATCTGTGCAGTAGAGACCTCCAGCCAAAGCCATTCCGATTCATTCTGAGGAAACCTAACACTTGCCAGCTTTCATGCAAGCTGCTCCTGGATGATCAGGTCTATTTTTGAGCTCCCACTCTGCCGATGAGAGCAGGCTTGTTCCCAGCCCTTCCCTCTAGTCATCCCTGCACCCTCTTCACTCATAGTCTCAGCACATTGTCAACTTCAGATGTGATGCTTGCATTTTAATTCCTTGCTCAAAATAGCTTGGAGATGATCACGTGTTGAGACAAAATTGTGCTGACATTCATTAGATGAACCTAATAAAAGTCTTTCCTTTTCATTTGTATTTAGCAGTTTTAAAAGAGAACTGCTAAAAACAGTGTCATTTGGGGAGGAGGTGGATGGTGGAAAGGGCTCTGCTAAAGCCTAAAGCAATTATTTGCTCTCCAAATTGAATGTGATTATATCTCAAATGCTGATGTTAAACTCCAGCTGCTTAAAGATGAGTGGACATTATCGAGTCTCCAGTGCGTCCCATGGCTTTGTTCAAGGCTGTACAGAGACCACACTTAGGTATGACTTGTGGGAGAAGGGTTAAAGTAGGGCACAAAGGCAAAATACTCTTTTATAAATAAATTAATACACTTCCAAGAGAATTGTAGAATTTCTTGCCACCATCTTAGCACTTAATGACTGTAAGCTTTTATTGCACCATTCCTTCAGGTCAAATCCAAGTGTCACTGTTGTCATTCAGATAATGACTTATTAAAACAAGCCGTCCACCAGGATACTGTGTAAGCATGTTGTCCTATCATAAAGCCTTCATTCAGGGTTCTCAGGAGTCCTGGAGTGGTGCTGTAAGATAAGCACTGGACCACAAGGTTGGTTTGAATCGCAAGGTTGGCTCACCAGCCGCTCCTCGGAAACCTTGTACAGTGTTGCTATGAGTTGGAACAGACTTGACAGCACTTAACAACATCGGGATACTCAGGTGAAACATCCTCAGGTCGTGCTGTGCATATATTAAAAGGAGGCATTGAAGAAAGCTAGGGTGTGCAGTTCGTGTCGTGCATGAGGGCCCCTCAGTGGAATGAGGCTGGCTGACCTGCTTGCCGTGTCTCTGCCTGTCTCAGCAGCTCCCTGTGGGCGTATACTGGCTGCTTCTTGTGTACTCCTTTCCCACAGGATTGACTTCTAGGCTGTAAAATAAGCTGTTTGTGGGCCAAGGCCCCAGGGAAATGGATAGTGGTTTCACCAACACATTGATGGGAGCAGTGTCATCCCGTTTTACAGATATGCTGGAACTGAGAGACCTCAGGTTATTCGCCCAGCCAACCAACCAGCAAGTTACACAAGTGGGATTCCTCCTGACTCCCAGTGACGCAGTATTTCTTCACAGATGCTTCTTGAACACATGTTGTTGCTGTTGTTAAGTGCTGTCGAGTCAGTTCCGACTCATAACGACCCTGTATATAGGGTTTCTGAGGAGCAACTGATGAGCTTGAACCACCGACCTTACAGTTCAAACCAACCTTGAGGTCGAGTGCTTATAGTAGGCCCACAAAAAAATTGTCATTTTGCATCTTTAACTGCCTTTTCAACAATGTTTTAAGCTTCTCAAGCAAAGTGTAACTTGATTTTGATACTTTCACAGCCCGCCTTGATGACTCGGTTATGTATAGAACCTTTTCCAGATGATTTGGGAATAGTCCTTGCTCCTGTTTAGTGCCATCAAATCAGCTCCAACTCGCAGTGACCCTATGAGTATAGGTTGCCTAAGGAGCAGCTGGTGGGTTTGAACTGCTGTCCTTGTAGTTAGCAGTCCAGTGATTATCCTACAGCGCCATGCCAGGACTTCTTGGGGGTAGCTAGGAATGTCAAATTCAGCCTCAAATATTTGCTATCACTGGTTTCATTCAACTGAATGTCATTCTGAAAGAGCATGCTATGTTATTGAACAATATTAGATTAGATAGATAGGTAAATAGTTCTTATTATATATTTAATAACATACGTATTTTAGTTGAAACAAGCTGACCACACTTGGTTGATTTAATGAAGATTTTCCATTTCTAGATAAGTTTTCTAACCAGATAAGGTTGTGGATTTTTAAAAAAGCATTTATAACAACTGTTATTGTTGTTAAGTGCTGTTGTCGATTCCGACCCATAGCGACCCTGTATAGGGTTTCCAAGGAGCAGCTGGTGAGCTTGAACCACTGACCTTTCAGTTCAAATGCCTTTGCAGTCTGACTCATTAGCCCACAGCGCCAGTAGTAGCCTGTAAATCAGTGGTTCAAACCCACCCAGCAGCACTGCAGAAGAAAGGCTTGGCGATCTGCTACTGTACAGATGACAACCAAGAAAATCCCATGGAGCAGTTCTGCTCTGAAAACGTGAGGCCACCATTAATTGGAAAAGGTTCAACAGGAACAAGTATATGGCATATGGTATGGCACATCTTATGTTTTGTTTGAAATTAAGGTCAGTATTTTAAGGACAATGGCTTCTCACAGTCTTTCAAGTTGACCCATATGAAATTCCAAATTGTGGAGAAAATGGGGCCTTAGGGAGAGCAACAGAGAAAAATGTGAGGCTAATTATTTTCACTTTTATCACTGTCAAGTTACAGAAAGAAAACAGTCCCCGGAGAAGTGGCAGTTTCCTCTGTGACCAAAACGAAGGCAGCCCCTGTCCCTTCCCCCACCAGGGAGGCCTCCATGTGCCTCGCGCCGTGGGAATGTGGCCCTGCTCTGACATGGAATCCATCCCCTTTGAAGACCAGCCACTGTCCAAGCTGAAAGAGTCGGATAGATGCTCAGCCAGCGAGAACCTTTATCTGGACGCCCTGGATGAGGACTCCGAGGAGCCTCCGCCACGAAGGCTGGATCGGGAGTTCAGGAACTGCCTCCCAGAGGTCAGCTCAGCTCTTACTCCATTCCAGCTCCTTCTCACGATGCTGGATCGGGTCTTCCAAGTGTCTCAGCCTTTCAGTTTAGTAAAAGCAAAATCTTTATGCTGGCTAGATTGTGTGTGTGGTCCTCACCTAACCTCATGCTCTATGATAACTTGATTTGCCTGCTTGTCTAGTTTAGAATTATGGGAATCATATCTTATATAGAAGGGAAGGGTTTCACAAATTCCAGCTAAGTATACAACAAGAAGTCAATCTGGGAAGTGTCTTATTTTTTATTTTTCTTACAATCTTAATAATTTTCTGATTATAAAAAATTACAACCCATAAAAGTCTGTTTTAAGGAAATCTTGAAGAAGCAAATGCTATTAGACAGTGACACATTATAAATATACCTAGTCCTCACCTGTTAACTTGGGTAGGTTCCCAGGACCAGATTATTATGCAAAAATTGGCATTATGTGAAAATGGAGGATTTTTCATTTTGTTTTCAGACCATCCATTTGATTTTTTGAAGAAGTCTGATCATAGAAATAATAATAGTTAAGACTTACTGATGTGCTCATCACTGTGCCCAGTTGTTGTTAAGTACCATCAAGTCAGTTCTGACTCATAGCAGCCCTGTAGAGGGTTTCCGAGGCTTTTAAGTCTTCACAGGAGCGGAAAGCCTCATCTTTCTCCCAAAAATAACAAGCAGTGAGTGAAAAATAAATAGCAGCTTGTAATTCATGGCATTCTTTTCTAAAATACCAAGTACTGTACTTTATGTATTTCAGGCAAAACATTGAAGAGTAACATGCTGCCCTCTGAATTCAGACTTTCTCCAAAACATTTTTTAAATAGTAGATTTAACACACCAAAAATCAAGTGGAACAGTGATCTTTCCAAAAGATCAGCCTTCTAATGCATGAGGTAGAATGAATTCCTAATAGATCAAGAGTAAAAGTTTTCTCCTCATAAACATTCCTAAATGCAAAAGTCTTGTAGTGATACTATCAGACAGGAAAATTGTTTTTCTTAAATTATAAGTTTATTTTTCATTTTAGGTGACCTGGGTATCAGATCTGCATTATGATAATTTCATAGCAAAAGCATAATGAGTGTACATACTCTCTTGTCAATTTTTTTTTTTAAGTCTGCCCAGTCTAATTCTGGATTATTCTTATGCAGAGAAGAAGGTTTAGAGGAAACAGAGCTGGATAAATCTGGGCTGGGTGCCTGGAGAGCTCTTAGCTTAGCCACCTCACCTACCTCCTCTTTACTGGCTCCGAGAGCTTCCCTCACACAGTTACTTCCACTTTCACCCTGCAAGCCCTGCATTCATGATCCCTCTGTGCCTGGCCAGCCACCAGCATGTCCTGTGAGGGAGCTTTAGGTCTGGCTGTGGGCCTCAGGGTACACAGAAGCTGGGAACTTAGAACTAGCAGCCGCTGGCCACCAAGGATACTGTCCCCATGCAGAGTTGGATGCTCAGGCTTTCGAGGCAGGAGGGAATAGGGCATTGGTGCAGCTCAGTCCAGCTTCCTGGAGGCCGTCTGTGAAATTATTCTCGAGAGAGGAGACACTCTGCAGCCATTACTGGCATACCTGCCACCTCATTAAAGCACAAAATTGTCAGATTTTTAAAATATTGACCTAAATGTGAAATGTGTGATAATAAGAGATAAATGAGGAATAGGTATCTTATTCTGTGCAAAGGGAAATAAACCGAACACTTAGAAACCTTACATGAGTTCTGTAATCAAATGTGAGCTAAGCTATACACTAAAATTTCCTCAGCTTTTTGTTAGATTTCACTGGTTAACCCTTTTTTCAAACCAGGTTTTTACAATTCTCTCTAGGAATCATAACCTGAGAATACATTTATTTTACAGTTGCTACATCTGTAATTTGGTCTCTGCAACACTAAACAGAATTAGAAGAAATCACGTTAGTAGTTGGTTGTTTAAATATGTGGAAATGACATTACAATCATGTATCATAAAGTACCTTATTCTCAGCAGTATTATTAGGTTGAACCTATGAGCTCACCAATATTCCACTATTTTTCAATCTACAGGCAATTTCATACAGTTCAGTGTAATAGTTGAGGAAAAGTAGGACCTGGTCGGGAAACTTCATGCTATTCTGATTGGCTGAGATAACTGGCATGGTCACTAAAGGAAAGTGAGCCCCTTGCTACTTAACTATGCCCAAGAATAACTTCCTGTCACTATCAAACGCTTTCTAGGATCCTTGCTGCTACTTTAAGAACGTGTCAGCACAAGAATATTTTCTCAATAGACAACCTCGTGTTGATGTTGTTCTCTGCCAGCCCAGCTGTCACTCTTTTTGAGTGATGGAAAAATATATTAAAACAGTTACCACTGTAGTTATCTTTACATTTATAATTCAGTGACATTGAGTACATTCATCGTGTTGTACAACTATCACCAGTAATCTTTTCCCAATTATTCCACCACCATCACCATAAACCCAGTGAAATAACTCTACCTTCTTCATCTCTCCTGCCCCAGTAACTAGTAATAAATTTGGTCTCTTTATGTTGTGGTGGTGGTTAAGTGCCTTTGATTTGGTTCCGAGGAGCTACTGGTAAGCTTGAACCGCCGACTTTACAGTTCAAACCAACCTGTCACCCCAGTGCATTATCCCACAGCACCATACCAGGACTCCAAAATCTATAAAGAAGCAGAAAGCCTCATCTTTCTCCTGAGGAGCAACTATAGACTTGAACTGCTGACCTTGAGGTTAACAGCCCAACATGTAACCCACAATGGTACCAGGGCTCCTCTTGGTCTCTATACATTTGCCTTTTTCCTTAGTGAGATCATACAGCATTTGCCCTTTTGTAACTGATTTGTTTCATTCGTTGTAATGCTCTCAAGGTTCATCCATGTTGTAGCATGTATCAAGACTTCATTTCTAATTATGTTATGTGCCGTGGAGTCGGTTCTGACTCATAGTGACCCTGTACAGGGTTTCTGAGGCTGTAAATCTTTACAGGAGCAGTAAGCCTCATCTTTCTCCCGCGGAGCAGCTGGTAGTTTCAAACTGCTGACCTTGTGGCTCGCAGTCCGATTCATAACCACTACACTACCAGAGCTCCTTATTAATTATAGCTGTGTAATAATCATTGTGCATACACACCATATTGTATATATCCATTCATTTGTTGATGGACATTTAGGTGGTGTCTACATTTGGCTATCATGAATAGTGCTTCAATGAACATTGGTATACGGGTTTCTGTTTGCATTCCTGCTTCTGTTTTTTGGGGGGATAGATACTCAGAATTGGGATTGCTAAGTCATATGGTAATTATATGTTCAACTTTTTGAGGGAGCCACTTACCTGTTTAACATAGTGGCTAGATGATATTATGTTCCCATCATCAGTAAATGTGGGTTCCAGTTTCTCCACATGTTCACCAACATGTTCTTTGCCAATTTTTATTGTATTTCCTAATCTTTTACTATAGCCAGTCTAGTGGGAATCAGAGAGTATCTCATTGTAGTTTTGATTTGCATTTCCTTAATGGATAATAGGAGTCCTGGTGTGGCACTGTAGGATAAGCAATAAGCTCACTACAAGGTCAGTGGTTCAGACCTACCAGCTGATTCATGTGAAGTATAGGTCCTGCTTAGTTCTTTTGCACATGGACTAGCTGCCACTCTTTGTCTTAAAGGAAAGTCATTGCAGCTTCATCTCCATGTCTATATGGAAGTGTTTGCTCAAGTCTAAGCGTGTCACACCAACTTCTGTAGCAAGACTTGGGTCAAGGATCACCCACCTTCCTTCATCCTTCCCTTCTCCCATCCCTCCTGACAAACACACTCACACATACTTACACTCTGATAGTTACAAAAGTTGGATTTGGACTTCATATAGTTCCTAGGTCTTTTGAAGAAGCATATAGAAGGGCCAACTTCTTTCATGACTAAAGTTTATAACCAGTTCTTCTCAGTCATTTGAGCACCTCCCTTGACTACTGAAGCTACAACCCTGTCATCAGGCTATGGATTCATGGTTTTATTAGTGTACTTCAAAGGGCTTAGCGGTAGTAGCACTCTTGGCCAAAACTTATCCTCAGTGTACATTTTAGTTGGTATTTTCATAGGACAGCAAACAAAGCAAAACAAATCATTTAAACACATTCAAGGCTCCATGATAACCAAAATCAACTGATTCAGATAAACTTACTATTTCTTCTTTATAGGAAGAAGAAAACCACAAAGGAAATCTTCAAAGGTAAGTCAGGTTGATGAAAATAATCGTAGACTACTGAAGTTAAAATCTCTTTGTTTTAAAATCTCTTGTTGATGCAGTCGATTGTAATACTGTTCAAAATGACTTACAGTCGGACTTGTAAGTAATTGCTTTATTATTATTAATTTCACAGATGTGGTACTGACTATTGACAATGAAAATACCAGGTGTGCCATGTTTGTCAGATGTCTTAGTTCGACGATGAGGCCCTTACAGTTTTACTTGGGTGTATATACTAAGGAATACTTTGTGGTATATTTCCTTTTTTTAATAGAAGGGACTTATTAAACTATTTCCTGGCAGTAATCTTTGAAGAAAATATGTCTTTGATGTTAGTTATATACCCACTTGTCCCCTCCCAGTTTAATTTTCTCTAGTTCTATTTTTTCTTTACTCTATATATGTGCCATTTCCACTATAAGAAATTTCTTCTTTGGACAATTTGCCATTTTCAGGTCTCCTTGTCCTTGGTTATCTTATGAACTACCACTGTCTCAGATCTCATTGTGCGCTCAGCACCTACATTGTCAGCTCACACTTCCATCCTTCAAGCTTTGGTTGTCTCTGCTCATTTGCAGACAGTACAGGGCTATCTTCATGTTCCCAGGTTCTAGAACCAAGCCTTTTACACACCCCTGGTTTTCCTTCTTCTCATAGCTGTGTCCATGTCAGTGTCTCAAATGAGGGCATATTTTTAAAGATAATTGCGTACAAACAGTTCTTGTCGAGTCAGTTCTGACTCAGCAACCTCAGTGTGTCCCACAGGGTTTTCCCTGGCTGCTTCTTCAGAAGTCGATCCCCAAGCCTTTCTGCCGGAGTTCCTTTGGGTGGACTCCGACTTCTCATTTAGCAGCCTAGGGTGTTAACCACTTGCAGCACTCAGGGAATCCAAGGGTTAATTGTTTTTGTTAAGTGCCATTAAGTTGGTTCTGACTCATAGAGACCCTGAATAGGGTTTCCAAGGTGTCCCTGGTGGGCTTGAACCACTGACCTTGAGGTTAGCAGTCTAATGCTTATCCTACAGCAGCACTGCTTTTACCACCCAAGAAATTACCACTTCTGTGTTCCCTCTTCATTAGGTACTTTTTAAAAAAACTTTTTATTGTGAATTGAGTGAAGATTTATAGAGCAGATCATCAGTTTTACATTCATCAAATCATATCCATTGTTTCATCTTCATGATTTCAATCCCCTCCATGTTACGCCACATCCCCCTGTGTTCTTATTTCAATCCCACCCTCCTTCCCAGTCCTTCTGAACTTTGTCCTTAGGTAAATGCTGCCCTTTTGATCTTGAAATGTTGACCATTCCATGGTGAGCATTCCTAACTAATGTTGTTAACACCACTCCCTTGTTGCCTGTCTACCACATGGCTGAAAATTAGGCCACAAGACTGTGTTCCATTCCAGACCTTAAGGGTAGCTGAGTGCCATAGTCTTGGGTTCCTCCAGTATCTTTCTGACCAGTAAGCCAGTCTTTTATATTGAAATCTTGAATTTTGTTCCACATTGTCACCCACTCTAGCTGGGATCTTCTAATGGGACACCTTTCAGAACACTTGGTAGTGATAGCTCGGCACCATCTCGTTCTTCTAGCCTTAGACTTGTGAAGACTGATGTCTCATGTATCCAAGTCCATTGAACTAATTGATTCCAAGTGTCTTCAATTCTTATCACTCATTTCCTCCGCACATGGAGAAACTAATAGCTGCACCTTAGATGGCAGCTCATGAGCATTACGATCCAGTCACTTCCCATCAAAGTAGGATGTAGAACATTGTCTTTGGGAACTGTACTATGCCTGTTCCCTTAGGTATCCCTTGAGATTATGGTCCTGAGCCCCTAGATCCAACAACTCATTACCTCAAGGTGTTTGGTAATGTCAAAGAAGTTTTCTGTAGCTCCTTTTTGTTTTAAACAGGATCAGAATGTTCAAAGTAGAAAAGTGACGGTGTCCTCCTATAACCCCTTTCCCTGCTCACTCCTGATAGTTTGGGGTGTGTCCTCCATTCTTCCTTCTCTGCACATGTGAGTGCCTGTGCATTTTTCAAATATCCCTTGCATCCATGTAGTTGTTTTGCTTTGCTGTCGCCGCTGCTAAAGTAGATGCCACTCCCTTCTCTGTTCACTTCATCTCTGGTCCACTGTGGTGATCTGAGCTCTCCTGTCACTGAGATGCCACTCATGTCCCTCAGAGAGTAGATATGACAAGGGCAAAGGTGGCATTCAGTGAGCCAAATCCAAAAAATGTGGACAAGCCCTGGGTTTCAGGGTCTATAGAGCACTTACAGCCTCTGAGTGAACAGCGTTCTGGAAACCCATTATTTGAGCAACTCCATGCCTTGACCAGTGACAAGAAGAGGAGAAATGTTTGCTGAAAACTCAAAAGTTAGTGACAAATATACCCATCCCTTCTGTTTCCTTCCATGGCTACTTTTCTGTTATTCCGTGGGTCTTTGTACAGCTTATAGATCATCTCTAACGAACAAAAATACTACTGATTTTGCGTCTAGTGAGAAATAACTGGAATGCTTTACAATGTCACTTTCAGCCTGCTGTTTTACCCCATGGTAGTAACCATAGGCCACTTGACTGACCGCACCCCTCAGCTGCCCAGATGCAGTGGCTGATTTTGTGAGACAGTCCACAGAGTACGTGAGTGTGCTCCAGCAGGACCCCAGTTCTGGCCCCACATTGTTCATGGGGCTCAAGCACTCAGCCTGGGGCCTCCTAGCAAGGCTGCATTGGTATAGGACCCTGGGTATAAAAGCTTCTGTGGGGATCAACGGACTGTGAATATAGCCTATAAAAATCTAGTCCACCTATCCCAGCAGATGATTCAGGCCAGAGAAGTTCTAGTGCTTGGCACAGCCAGCCCCCAAGCTTCCTTCTGAGACACCTCCTTTTGTCCTGGATAGATTGACAAGAGGTCTAAGCACCCCAGCAACCTCCTTATCTCAACAGCTTTGAGTGTTCGGTGTCTCACAGTGTCTCCTGGGTGCAGAGGAAGCTGTCAGGAAATTCATGTCAAATTGAAATACATGGAATGAAAGTGCTGGTATGTCTTATCCAAAGACAGCAGACAGCAACTTATCAAAACTGGCTGTCTTTTTAGCCCACCTACCTTCACCTTTCCACAGTGTTCATGTATCTGAGGGAGCTTTTCTCTCATCTAATTAAAAAGAGGAGAAAAAGCAAAAAGAACATTTGGCTGTAAAGAAGATAGCAGAGAAGGAAGGGGAGAGCTACACCCCTTTGGTGAGATTAGGAAAGGGCCAAGTGGATTTATTTAGAGAATAAGATTGGAAGTTATTTGTCAATTGGATTGCTTCTTCATTTGTCTCCTTCCCCATCTTCCATTTGGGTCTTCGCAGTCTGTTGATCCCAACTGTTCATTGGCTTATCCTTAAGCCAACAAAGGATAAGGCTGGAATGGGGAAAGTCATAGAGTTGGACCTTGAGTATTTGAAACAGTGCCTGGAACTAGCAGGTTCATAGTCATAGCAGCAATGACCCTCTCATTAGTTGGTGGGGACCCCAGATCACAGCCAAATCCCAGTGTTTTCCTCTTCCTGGAGTCTCAGTAGACTAAGCACGAAGCTGTTCCACGGGTGGGGAAAGGTTTGGCCTCTTACTACTGCCAGTCCCTCTCCTCCATAATTCCTCAGTTGAGAGCCGATGATGGTCAAATCTGACCAGTGCAAGGCTTCAGGAACAATTCCAGGACCACTGAAAGTTCGTGCAACATCTGTAGGTCAGCTCATGAGTGGAAGAGCATCAGGCAGCTAGAGTGTATTCTCAGATGCCAGCAAATGGTGTAGGTAGGCTGACTCCCTAGGATAATGTTATACAAGGGTGTGCTGCGTGTGTTGGGGGCCACAATTGTGTGGTCTTCATTGGTGGGTGAGACTGGGGGAAGGGTTTGAAACCCTGCCGGCTGCTCATTCTGTCTCCCCTTTCCACAGGGCTGTGTCTGTGACCTCCATGTCTGAGTTCCAGCGTCTGATGGACATCTCTCCCTTCCTACCTGATCAGGGGCTGCCTTCCATGGGCAGCAAAGAGGACATCACCCCTCCCTTATCTCCTGATGACCTCAAGTACATCGAGGAGTTCAACAACAAGGCCTGGGACTACAGCCCTCCCAGGGAACACACTGGAGTGGGACTGAGGAGACCCCCAGACCCTTGGGCAGACAGGACTGAAGTGGGGCAGGCTGGGGCCGACGTTGCAGTGGATCCGTTACCAGACTCTTCATGGTACCTCACCACTAGTGTCACCATGACCACGGACACTATGACCCACCCTGAGCACTGCCCGAAGCAGCCGCTGCGCAGCCATGTGGTAGCAGAGAGGTCAGGCATGCGCGTGCTTCACAGCCCACCTGCCGTGCGCAGGTTCGAGAGTGTGGTCACAGCCCTGGGCAATGAGGAGCAGAGTCCAGGGGACCCTGAGTTCCCATTCCCCACAGGCAGAGCCAGAGGAGGCATAGGGGAAGCCAAGGGGAAGCCAGCAGAGCATGTATTTGGCAGGTGGCCTTATGACTTGCCCAGACTTCCCCGGGACTACAGGGATGGCAGGCTCTGCTCTCTCGAGGGCCCCATCTGCACCTCCCTGGGATTTGCCTCCCCCCTGCACAGCCTGGAGATGTCCAAGAACATGAGTGATGACATGAAGGAGGTGGCCTTCTCCGTCAGGAGTACCATCTGCCCAGCAGAGCCTCAGGTCAAGGACACTGCCTGCCAGACCAATGGGTCCCGGACAACTGGGACACAGACCACCCAGACCCTGAGTGTCGGCCTGCAGACTGAAGCCCTGCGTGGGGGTGTCACCAGCAGCCCTCACAGGTGTCTCACACCCAAGGCCGGGGGTGGCACCACACCTGTGTCCTCACCTTCCCGCACTCTGAGGAGCAGGCAGGTGGCACCTGCCATCGAGAAGGTGCAGGCCAAGTTTGAACGCACATGCTGCTCCCCCAAATATGGCTCCCCCAAGCTGCAGAGAAAGCCCCTCCCCAAAACTGACCAGCCAAATAACAGGACCTCGGCAGGGACACCCCAAAAGGGCTGTAGCGAGTCAGCCTGGGCCCGCTCCACCACCACAAGGGAGAGCCCTGTACACACGACCATCAATGATGGCCTCTCCAGTCTCTTCAACATCATTGACCACAGCCCCCTGGCACAGGACCCCTTCCAAAAGGGGGTGCGGGCTGGAAACCAGTCCCGCTCAGTGGAGCCCCGACCAGATGTGGGCCAGGAAACTGGCACCAGCTCCCGGGGGCAGTCACCCAGCCCTCTTGGTGTTGGAACAGAGACATTCAGGGAAGAAGGGGGAGAGAGTACGCCAGTGAGGCAGGACCTATCCGCTCCCCCTGGCCACACACTCACAGAGAATGCCGCTCGAATCCTCAATAAGAAGTTGCTGGAGCATGCCTTAAAGGAGGAGAGGAGACAGGCCGCCCACAGCCCCCCAAGTCTGAACAGTGATGGCCACACAGGGGAGATGGGCAAAGCTGAACCAGGGTCCATCGAGGTAATGAGTACTGAATGTTCCCACCCTAACCCTGTCGACTTCACTTAAATGTGGCCATGTTTGAAGCTGGGTTGTACATGCTTATTTGATTTCGGGAATCATAGTCCGTAGCAGGTTGTGAGCTATGGGGTGTTGGGTTTGTGGAAGAATGGAACAAGCAGAAAAATAACCCTGAGCTATTTTTCAAAGAAAATGTCATTTCATTGTCCTCAGAAAATCATAGAGGATGTGGTTTGATTCAGGTCTGTCCTCTGGTCTACAGGACTGATGCTCTTTTTATGAGGCTTTTGATTTGTGATCCTAACTTGCCCTCTTTTTGTATGAATGTGTGTCCTAGAAATATGTGTGTTGGAGTGTGTGTGGTGAAAAAAAGTAGGTTAGAATTGTGTCAGGTTTCCTGGATGCTACAAACCTTGACAGATGACAGAATGTGAGGTAAGCTGAAAGTTTGGGCAGCCTAGGAATGAGCACATCTCTCATCAGGAACCACAGGAAGAGCAGTGGATTCCAGTGCTGGGTCAAGTACAGAATGACAAACTGACATGTCACAGATCAGACTACCACTTTGTATCCACAGATCCCCCTAGCAATATCCACAGATGAAGCAAACAATGATAACGAAAAATCTGCCTTAATGCAATATAATTACTACGATTCACAAAGCAGTCAACCTAGGCTTCTGTTCTGATACATATCGACATATTCAAAAAGTTTGTGGAAAACAGAATCAAGAGGTAATGGAATTTCTCCACCAACTTTTTGAAGCCCTCTTGTGTATTTATTTCTACCAGACTACATTTTTTAAAAATTCCCATTTCAGTGCTGGTGGTGACAGCTCTGAGGACGCTACCCTCACATTCGTGAAACAGTGAAAAGACACATTCTCTCTGTTGGTCTGTTTAGTGATTGATCCCAAATGTGCACTTGACCGTGAACCCTGGCTCATCAATAGCCTAGATAAGCAAACTCCCCACCAGGGAACAAGTGAGCCCTTGGGAAAGCAGACCCCAGAGCCTGTCGATGCTTGACAATTCCAACTGATGGTGAGGACCAGGAGGAGAAATACGCTTCCTCTGCTACCCCTGCTCCTTTCTAGCCGTGATCCCTGTAGTCATGGGTTTTGTGGGCAAGGAGTGGAGGAAGGTATTTGTCCTGTGTCATCCAGTCCACTCTATAGCCCACATTTTCCCACAGGGGTACAAATGGTGGTTAGGTTTCCATCATTGAGCACAAAGTAGAGTTTGCATCTAGAATAGATTAGGTGACGTGCAGTTGCCAGCGACCTGATGTTAATTTCATATGATTCATAGTAATCCATAAGGTCTGTGTTGAACGTGGTCAAATAATGTCACCAAAACAGAGGATATTATTTCTCTGAAAACATATGTCAGTTCTAAACAACCTGCCTATAAATGAGTGCGTGCTTGTCGTAAAATCATGTTGGTGGTGTGTGACCTTATATGATGGGCAGCAGCTCAACCTCTTCAGCTCTTCCTCCAGTAGAGAATCCGATTTCTTGGAAATGGTACAGACTCCCTGCTTCCTTTCTGTTACACAGTCAGACCATCAATTCCTGGTATGTGTTCTCCAATATGAGTTCTGGAGGTGAGGGATTCTACTCCAGTCCATTAGTGATTTTATTATTTTAAGCACAACAGCCTAACTTTAGGTCACATGTTTTATCTTCCTTAGCACTTAGTGTACTCTCTGCTAGTTAGCCCTTGCCGACAGAGCTGACTTGCCTGTTCAGCCAACAGATATCAGGTCTTGACACATATACTGGAAATCAAAGATAGCAGCAGCTAGGGTAGAACTAGCCCCTGCTCAGTCCAGCTGTACATGCTGTGTGTCATTAAGAGGTGCTCCTTTGCCCTTCTTCAAAAAGTCCTATCATTAGTCAATCTAAGCAAGTTAAAAAAACACATTTTCTTCATTTCCTTTGCTGGTTCTCAGGTTGGTCACCCCAAACACCTAATGTTAATTGTCTGGATAACTTGATATGTATTTTACCCAGCTCCTCGCTCCCCAGATCCACTTGTCCAGCTGTCTTTCCAGGTCAAACCCTGGCTATTTGCACCCCTTGCCCACACACGTTAATGACCCTCCTACCCACTCTACTCTTCTCCATGTCTGCTATTGCTCTCCTTACTCTTAGCTTCTTTTCTTCTTGCTTGGAGTTTTGCAGTAACCTCCTGATTGTTCTTTTTTCTATCTCTGACTTTTCCATTCCGGTCTGACTCACACAGTTGCCCAAGTCATCTCATTAAAAGCTTGCTCTAATTATTTTTGTTCCATACTCAAAAACCTTCAGTGGCTCCCCTCATTTCTTAGCAAACTATTCTAGGTTTCTATAATGGGACCCCAGTCTACCTCCCTTGCCTTACTGCCCTCCATCTTTTCTGCTTCATGAGTTCAAGAAGAGTTTGAAGAGACAGTTTGTCCTTTCCTAACTCTGTGCCCTTTCCTATGTAGTTCACTCTTCAAATGACCACTTTACATATTGAAATTTCTACAGGAAATTTCTGAATGCTGATTACCCTTAACATTCACATCTCTGTACTTATTTGCTTTCTGTAAGCTTTATCAAATTTCCTTGCAAAGTTTAAAGAATTATTATTTCTCCTGCTGGACTGGACGCATCTTTTGAGCACAGACTGCATTTATATTTCCACGGTGCCTAAATGGATATATGGATATTCACTGCATTCCCATGAACCTAGACACTTGACTTGGTTCATCTCTCATCACTTCCTTCTGGGGCTCTTTGCTAGAGCAGTAGCCCTTTACCTCAGTCAAGCATATGTAGACAGTCTTCAAAATGTGATCTCTTGCCTGCAATTCAAAAAAGAATTCAATGAATAAACCACTTCAGGCTTGTCTTGCCATTACTGCCATTCAACTTTTTGCATTTCCCCTTTCCAGATGATGTTGGGTCAGTTCATATTTTGTATACTGGACCAATTCATGTTTCTCTTATCTAATCAGCTTGCTCATTCTTGCATGATTAAGAAGAGCCTGTAGTGTCCAAATGCATTTTTAATGATGCGCTTTGAGTTTTTGATCACACCTGACTATTTCAGTGTTTCTCCAGGTCTCTGAGATACTGGCACTGACACTCTTAGTTCTTATCAATACCACCTGCAGTGAGCATCAAGAGCCTCTCTCAAACTTTCCACCATCCCTTGCTGAATGGATTCAGTATCTCCCTACACCCAAACAGACCTTTAGAAGAAAATAATCACCCTTTCTTTCCAGAGCCCCAGTCCATTTTAAATCATATCAAGTTTACAGTTAAATTTGTGGAAGTGCCTTACTTACTAAATTTAAATAATAAGATAATCTACACTTTGCTTGAAGAGAAATTTGTATTTAAAAAAATGTCTTCACAATATCAACAGTTACATCTCTTTGCATATCTCTGAGTGGCTTTCTGTAGGCCAACTTGTAGCCCAGCATTTGACTGTCTCTGTGTACATATGGGTGCATACATTCATGAACATTCCTACCCTGAGAAACTCCTGTAGGGAGCTCAGCATTTCTGGGGTCTTCATACACACAGTCCATCATCTTTTTTATTGATGTCCTCCCCAACTGGCTACTTGATTGTTTTGTTTTTATAGTTGTTTTTTTAAAACTTTGATAGTGAATTGAGTAAAGGTAAACAGACGAGATCATCAGCTTAACTTGCGACCAGTCATACGTTTTGTGTTATCTACATAATTACACTTCCTTCCCTGTACCAACAATTGTCCTACTTCTACCCTCTGGCTTCCCTATTAAGTCTTATTTTTCACAAATCAACAAAGAAATATATCTGGTGTGCACATACAAAAAAATATATATATAATATGTTAATTTAATTGTCCAACCTCCAGACCACAGGCACACAGCCTTTCTCAGTCCGTGGGCCTAGAGTCCTCAGCTACTCTCTCTGTGCCATTGCTTCTGCTACTGTCTCTACTGTCACCACTTTTCTGGGTAAGATCTCACACTCTACTCATGCTCTTCCTTTTTGATGGTCCTGGGATCTTTTGTTCCTGAAATGAAAGATTAACTACTCCCCCCTTCTAGTTACATAGCTTCGACAGTTACAGTTGTGACACAGTTGAACTCACAGTTGAACCCTATCACCATCATCCTTCATTCCCTTTCACCAGATCCATCTGGAAAAGAGGAAAACTATTCAGTGGAAATTCTACCTTACCCACCTCATTCTGAAACTGAGCATACTCATGAAAGCTTACATGCCAACCATTTCGTGCCTTTATGGTTGTTAAGTGCCTTCGAGTCGGTTCCGACTCAGTGACCCTGTATTGGGTTTCTGAGGTGCCCCGCACTTTTGATAGCATATGTCTAAATTTCCTGTCCCTGTCAACCCAGTGTATTGAGGAAACTTTATTCTTGATATGAAGAATCCTTACATTTCTGTTGGAATTTTTAGCAACTGCATCCATAGGCAAAGGTCCAGTGCATCAAATTGTAGCAACTTACACTTGCTCACAGTGTCAAACTCCTTGATTTTCATCTGGTTGAGTTCTAGTCAGCTAACCATCCAAGTTATCTAATGGATTCTGTCTGCAAGTTTGGGAGTTCACACATGCCTCCCCACACTTTAGACCAGCTGGCTGCTTCACTCTCAGCTCTAGCCCCCAGTGGCTATATCAGTGCCATGGGCTCGGGAATTCACACATCTCCCTAAATTTCAGACTAGCCAGTCTGTCGTCTTCTTTCCCTCATCTCAAGGTCAACAGGTGTCAGTGGAATCCAAACAAGTACTTTAAGATTTGCAACTTTGGAATCTTTGAGTCCACTCTTTACCTAACCCTACTAACTTTTCTGTGCACAAAAACAAGAATCTTTCTGAAGCATCATTAAGCTACATTGCTCTGCTGATGGTTCCCATTTAACCTTATATATGTCTGTTATAAACTCCTGCTCCTCAAAGATCTAGGATCTTCCCCAATTAGTCACATTTCTATACATTTTTATCTCTAATTGTACACACACACACACATACATACATATTAAGTGCCATCGAGTTGGTTCCTACTCATAGTGACCCTGTGTAGGGTTTCCGAGTGACCCTGTGTAGGGTTTCCGAGGAGCAACTGGTGAGTTTAAACTACCAGTCTTGCACTTCAGACCCACTTCATGGCCCAGTGCCACACCACTATGTATATATAGAGAAATCTGGTGTGAAGCTATAGGATAAGCACTGGACTGCTAACAACAAGGTTGCCCATTCAAGCCTATTAGCCATTCCTTGGAAACTTCATCCAGGGTTGCTATGAGTTGGAACTGACTCCATGGCACATAACAACAACAACATCATATTTATTTATTTATTTTATTGCACTTACTTCAAAGTATTTTAAGGTACTTTGAAAAACTTTTCAGTTAAGTCACATGGTTATGATGCAGATCCAGAGACTGTTCCAGAAATAATCAAAATAAGAAGTACTGAGTCATCAAGTGAATCACTTTCACTTCCTAGGTAAATAGATTTCAAGTAAAAAGCAATGAGGTTATACAAAGTACCATACAAGAATCCTAACTCTATTTGAAGAAATTTAGGGTAAAGATAATTGTAAGTAATCAAAAAGACAGCAAATGAGATTTTCTTATAATTGTCATATGCACTCATTAAACATTCTAGTAGTTACTTATTCAGTGTCTAGAGTGAATAATGATTTGTTTTAGACAAATAATAAAAAATGACTATCTCTACAGTCTCTATTTTAGAGTGTTGCTCTTAATGATTAAAAATTGAAGCACGTATATATCTAAAGGAGTTTGCATTGTATAAACATAGATTCAAGAAATTCAAAAGTTTTATTTTGTAGTTATTATGACCAGGAACTTCTGATTATTTCATGATTGTGATAATTTCTTTTCTTCTTATAGGCAAAGATATTTTTACATATGCTAATTATGAGATATTTTAAAGTTTATGACATCACATTACTACATTTAAAAAGTATGAATATGTGAACATACACCCAAAAGGCACATCATGTGCAGATTAGTGTATCCTGTTTTATTATTGTTACATTAAATTTTACAGCTATTTCCCTGTATTTTTTAAATTATACATTTATTATAGTTCTCTTAGAAATTTCTGTGAGATTCCAGAGGACATATATGTGGCTCCCACAAATGACTTATGCACTTGAATATGGGCCTTGAAGACTAGTCTTTGAAATAATCTAGAATTCTTCTTTGGAGAATTTTTCTTGCAAAACTCTAGCAAACAGAATACCCCAGGATCCTGGGATAATTTCCATGACCTTTTTTGGAGATCTCAAGAATGCCAAAATTCTAACTCCTCCCATCCTTATTTAGTCTAGCGCTTACCTCCAGGCCAGAAGTATGGCTCCCAGCTTTCATGGTCACGCCTCCACAGTGCCTTCTCTTCACTGTCCAAGTCTCCTAAACCATTCCCAGCCTTCCAGAAAACTACTTATACTATTTGTGTGCCCTACATGGCCTAGGTATGGTACTCTGTGACAAAGTTGTTTATTGTTCTGAGGAGAACAAATATTGCTGGTTGCATATTTTCAGGTGACAAATGGTGTCCTCTGTAAGTTCTGTCCTCCCATCTCTCCAGACCCACAGGTAAGTGCCTCGCTGCTGTAGAAGGTGTGGAAACAGCATGCCCTCCTTGGGCTCTGCAGAAATCTGTTGAGATTGAGGCTTTGCCCAAAAGTATTAACTTGGCTGTGTCTGTAGTGTGCGTTTATATTAGAAAATAAATTGAAATTAATTTTTAGAAACAAAAAACTTGCTTTGAGTTACTACAGTGAATGTCCCCAGCAGTACCTGACAATGTGTAAAGAAAATAGTTGAATGACTGAATTGCTGCACTAGGCCATGAGATGGTTCTATCATTACAGATCTGTGCTCCCCTTTGGTCCTTGGTAAAGTGTGTTTTGATTTTCTTCTCACTCAGTGTGCTTGCCACCAAGAGAGGTGATTGGTGGGATCATTGACCCATCTCAGGGCTCAGACCTACGGGAAGCACTAACAGTGGGCAGCATCACAGGACTTTCCCCCTGTTGCTGGAATCTCGCTTGTTCTAGATTTTCCAATGGAATTGTCCCTGGTTTGAATGAAAATATAAGACCTATTGGAGATCCCTTTCCTCCATTTCATAAGTTTATAACAGTTCTGGATTTTCATTCTCATTCTCAATCCACTCAGCAATCTGCTATGGGATCTTTCCCTAAAGGCTATCTCAGGTATGTCTATGTATGTAGGGGTTATGTGGAGCCATCCCTGCACTAGAAATAATGAACAAGAGGAAATAGAAAATCCACCTTTCTTACCTTATTCTATCCTTACATCTATGCAATTAACTCCTCCTTTTCTCTTGAAACAAGTGCATCGATTCCACAATGCAGACAGAAGCTGCATGAGAAAATGTGCAATCTGAAAATGAAACACTAGTGGTGGTGGTGGTTATGTGCCATGGAGTCGGTTCCCACTGATAGTGATCCTGTACATAGTGATCTGAGGCTGTAAATCTATGGGAGCAGAAAACCTCATCTGTCTCCCACGGAACAACTGGTAGTTTCTAACTGCTGAACCCTGAGGTTAGCAGCCTGATTCATAACCACTACGCTACCAGAGCTCTTTAGCATGAGTCATAATAGCTTGATCACTGTGACCAAGCAAACCAGACTATTTCATGGCCTGCTTCAAATACAATAGTCACTCGATTTCCATCTTGTCATTCTCCAAAAGATACTTGAAATGTTAAAGGATGATGAGCAACTGAAGGGCCGTAGGAGAAGATGGCAGACGGAGGGGATGCCTGTTAAAGTGGTGCATGTTGTATCTTGGTTATTTCTTAGCTCTGAATTGATGACAGATTGGAAGCCCTTGACTGCCTGACACTGTACTCTCTGCTCTGCCTTGGAGGGAATGTGCCCAATTCTGTGAGGTTCTTCTGAGAGGAACTCTCCTTAGCCATTGGGCTTGCTGACTATAAAACATTTACTCTGTTCTCCTTAAAAAAAAAAAAAAGAAAGAAAACTTTCCAACCTACTTGATTTTCTTTTCTCTCTCTGTTCTGTCCAGAACCATACTGTCTTACTAACTGCCCCCTGGGGACTCTAGCCTGCCTGCCTCGTGCTGTAAGTGATTTCTTCTTTGTTTCCAAACTGTCTGGAGAGGCCATTTTGTGTCACTGTGGTTGGTGAGTCATCTGAGGTAGATTGCTGCTCCCACAGAGACCACCTGTCCTGTCACACCAAGAGTCCCACATGGGCGGCTCATTTATGGGGACCGATTGGCAAGCCTAAAAACTCCCACTGCCCCCCACTCCAGTGTTGACGACTCAATGGGAAGAAAAATGCTGAGGGTGTACTGAGTTTTAGCTCCTGGGTCCACTGAGATTTCTGCCTCTGTTATGTTTTCAGGAGAGTGCAGAAATACTGGCTGGTCAGGGGCCAGGGCTAGCTCAGTCTTGACTGAGGGGAGTCACTGAGCCAAGATTCTTTCAGAACCCCAGTCTCGCAGTCTGTCTGCCACATGTATGTGCTCTTCATGCTGTAATGAGAGCTGCACAGGACTTTCCACACTGCCTTGGAGTGAATGTGCCCAGTTCTGTGGGGTATGCCTATGTGAAGAAAGCTTCCCAAGCTCAACAAACATACCAGAAGGAGTAAATCTACATGTATCATGTCCTTCAAATGATCACCATAGATGACATAGTCAGTGCTCAATAAGTTCCTATTGAGTGAATAAGTAAACAAGAAAGCCATCCCTGACCCAATTGTTTATAGAGACTTCTCTTAGAATTTGCTTTCCGAATCTGAATCAAAGCACATTAAGAAATGCATAACTTTGTTCTGATTCAAGGATATTGTTACCCACACACCTCATACACTCTTAATATGACCCGTTAAGTACAAATCCAGTTATAGTCTGCTTTCAAACACAAAAGATGTGCCCCATAAAAACTCACATAGAAGGGAGGCTCTCTTAAGGATGTTGGACCCCAGAATGGAGGCCTGCAGAGACCACCACGGTGGTTTCTCGGGAAAAAGACAGCACTGATTGCCTGTGTGTGCTGATGTGTTACTATAAAAGAATCCACTCTGAGGAATTATGGTCATACAAGATAGCTGTTTCCTATTGGAATCTACCAGGAGATGCCAATGAAGAGGAAGGTCAATGTTTCTAGTATAAAGCCCATTCTTACTCAGCGTCAGCCAGATGGGAGGCAGGGCTGCAGCTGTATCCACTTAATATACCTACAGCAGTAGTAGCTTTAGGGGTTCTGGTGTGGTGCTATACGCTAAGCATTGGACTGCTAACTATAAGGTTGGCAGTTCAAACCCACCAGCTGCTCCTATATAGAGTTGCTAGGAGTCAGAACAGACTCAACAGCACTTCACATCAACAGGGGCTGCAGCCTTACCATGCACACGCCCCTCTCTGACATGAATGGGAGTAGAGACACAAGAGCAGAGTGTTCATTCTGTCACCTCCTGTAGGTTTCACACCACAGTGATAAGCTCTGTCAGCAGGTCTCAGAACAATAGATCTCCCAAGCCCTTTGTCCCTTTTTGAAGTGAGGGAAGGACACAGGCTGACCAGAGTTCATATGTAGCTCAGCATTGTTCCCATTGATGTGGTTTTACCTGGAGAGGAATTTCTTGTCATGATACCATTGGCATAAGTTTTCCTAACTGAGGCTTCGCCCCCTTTACCATTAAATGCCATCCATAAAAGTGGCCTGGAGCCCTTGGGAAGTAGTCTAAAATGCCGATGTTCTTTTTCTGCTGACCACTCCATGGCTCTTGCAGGAGTCCCACACTGTGGGCCACCTGCTGCCCTCAGGCCTCCTGTTATCACTGGTCTCCTTTGTGCCTCCCCCACGTTGTCTCATTGCTGTGGGACTCGACTCAGCTGTTGTGTTTCTCTCCATACTTCACTCTCCACTGGCTGATCTTTTCCATTGCATATCACATCTCTTCACATTCTTCAACGCAGAATTCACTCACTGAGTGGGGTGGGGAGTGTCCTTATTCTATCTTCACTCGTCATCTGCCTTCCATTGCAGTGGTTTTCCATCTTAGCTTCTGGTTGTTTGGGTATCATTTGAGCAGACAGGTCCACTGTGGATAATTCATTGTTTTCCTTTTGTTTCTTTACATTTCTGTGTGCCAGCAAGTTCCATGTTTGGATGTCCTTGTTTTGTAACATGCAGACAAGTAGCTCAACATTACTGAAAAACAAGTGCCAGAAACCCTAGAAAAATAGCAGCATAGGTGAATCACGCTGGATTGCATGTTTGTTGACCAGTTTTTAGAATGTGTAGGAGGCCTGTCACAAAGTCACAAGAGACTCTGGCAACATTTTTATAAATGCCAATCCAGTGAATAGTCATTAAAGAACTCTAGACCCAAATTTAAATTTCTGCATGTGGCATTTTTTTCCTTGTGGTAGGAGTTTGTTTACCCTATTACCAGTCTGTGTGAAGTAAACAGTAGACGAGTTCATTTAGACTGAGTCTGTGCTAAGACAACTGGATAGACTCAAAGATTCTTATGGACCCAACAGACCCAGCAACAGGAAGCCTGACCTTGCAGCGCTGTGCCCGGTCACCTAATTACTAGAGCCACTGGATTGGAATATGATGATGTGGCCTTTGGATTCGACTTACATAGTTGTCACCCTACTCTGAAGGAGCTATGCATGGAAACAGGACCATATCAAAGTCTTGGCTATAAGTTGATTCTAATTTGCTATCTTTCAGTCAGTGTATTCAGTGGTAGTTTGTGTGAAGTTGTTGGCTGATTGACCTGTCATTTCAAGTTCTTCATGAGCAGAAAGTAACTAATTTTCAAAGTTGCATTTCACTTCCATCTACTAAGAGGTTTGTTTGGGGGGAGTAACACCCAGAGAAGCTGCTGCTCTGAGTAATACTCTTTGCTTTTCCCTGCTCTCAAGGGACTCCCTTGTTCAGCACTCGCCCCTTCCCTAGAGCCCTGCTTCTCCAGACCCGAGAGACCAGCAAATCGTCGCCCGCCGTCCCGTTGGGCCTCACACTCACCCACTGCCTCACAGCCTCAGGCCCCTGGAGACCTGCTGCCCATGGAGGACCAAGGTGACCCAGAGCCACCAGTGGAGAAGCTGCACCCATGATGCAAGTGTGCATGAATTATCACAGAATAATTCACTGTAATTTGCATAACCACCCTAACTTCATGAACCAACCTCTGCCCCAAAGGAAAAAGCTTAATTTCCCAAGGTTAAAGAATGTTTTTTAAAAACACACAGCTGCTGAATGTTCAACCTGTGAAACAGATGTTTCTAGAATGAAACAGTAAATGTGCCTGTAATAACTTAATTTTTTTCATAGCTCAGAAAACTATTTTTGTCTCCATCTTTTTTACACACAGTATATTAAACAAAATAAAAAGCTAAATAAGATAAATTTAAATAAAAGTTTTAAAAAAATGTACGTTTTAAGAGATTCTGAATGCCCTTGCTTTAAGTAACAACTGCCTTTCTGTTCAATTTGCACTGTTCCATTTTGTTTGGTTCACTTCCATGTTGAATTAGAGTATTGTAAGTTAATTTTATTTTGTCAGTGTTGTTATTTTGTAAGAATTTTGAAATGCTTCTGACTGAATCAGTGAAAAAGCCATGAATACAGTAGACAAGACCAGTATCTATAAATGGGGGGATACAGGTCAGTGTGTTTGGAAAGGTACACAGTTCCTCAGAGGGGTGCACAGAAGCCCTGTGCAGCCCACATTTTCTCCTCGCCTTGCATGTCTTGGGTTCCCAGCACTGGATGCATGTACATACTGCTGCTGATTCGCACCATCGTTCAATGTGAGTCCATGTGTTTCACTGTAATACATTGTGAATTTCCTTGTACTGTACTTTTTATTGTCGGTCCTCTTGCATTGACAATACAACTGCAACATTTTAAAATTATTGTTCAAAGACTAACTGACGATGTACAGTGTTTATCCAATTTTATTGTTTAAAGAAAACCTTTGCAAAAATTCATGAGGACGCCAAATTGATACCATTGATGGTGCCTCTGAGTCTGTGTGAGACCATGAGGAAGTAGAAATAAAGTTTTTATGATAGCAGTGTGTTCTCTGATCTCACGTGTCACATACTCTGTCGTTTCTGAAGAACTCAACAGAAAATTATTAGGGGAACAAAGGAAAGGAGATCTTGTAGAAAGGCAGTTTGTTGTTGTTGTAAGGTGTCATCGAGTTGGTACTGACCCATAGCAACCTTATGCACAGCAGAACGAAACACTGCCCGATCCTGGGCCAACCTCACAACTGTTGCCACGCTTGAGTTAATCGATACTGCCACTTTGCCAATCCATCTCATTGGGGGCCTTCCTCTTTTTCTCTGACCCTTCACCCTACCAAACATGATATCCTTCTCCTGTGACTGCTCCCTCCTGACAATATGTTGGAAATATGAGAGACAAAGTTTGGCCATCTTGGCCTCCAAGGAGCACTCTGGCTACACTTCTTCCAAAACGGAACTATTGGTTCTTTTGGCAGTTCATGGCACTTTCAACATTCTCCTCCAACACCAGAACTCAAAAGCATCAATTCTTTTACCGTCTTCCTTATTCACTGTCCAGCTTTTGCATGCATATGAGGTTATTGAAAATACCATGGCTTGGGTCAGGCACACCTTAGTCCTCAAGCTGACATCTTTGCTCTTCAACACTTCAAAAAGGTTTTATGCAGCAGATTTGCCTAATGCAATATATCACTTGATTTTTTGACTGCTGCTTCCATTAGTGTTGATACATGATAGAAGAATGAAGTCCTTGACAACTTCAATCTTTTCTCCATTGATAAGAATGTTGTTGATTGGTCCAGTGGTGAGGATTTTTATTTCTTTACATTGAGATGTAATCCATACCAAAGGCTGTGCTCTTTGATCTTCATCAGTAAATGTTTTAAGTCCTCTTCACTTTCAGCAAGCAAGGTTGTATCATCTGCATGTCGCAGGTTGTTAATGAGTCTTCCTCCAATCCTGATGCCACGTTTTTCTTCATAGAACCCAACTTCTCGGATTCTTTGCTCAACATACAGGTTGAATAAGTATGGTGAAAGAATACA